CGGCGATAACTACAACCAAATCTGAACTAATATTACAAATTGAGAACTGAAAAGGTAAAACAACTGGCATTAATTATCATTATCAAGACGGCAACAGAAATGAAATTGAAGACGATAGAAAAAAAGTTGAAGAAAAAAAAATTCCTTGTCTTCTCTCGTGTACTATACCTTTCCTACTAAAAACAACAACCAAAAATTGGCAGTTAAAAACATTACAATAACTCAAGATGTAAACGTGTATACAGCTGTTTCTGAATATTTTTTTTTCTTGAAAAAGTATATGTCGCTTTTTTGCCATTGCTGTTGTGTCAAATACAGATAAGCATCATACGCCGAGTATGCAGCAAGATTGTTGTTGCCACATGCAGACCTTTTTAACATTTTTTCACCCTGTACCTCCCTTTTTTAACTCTACTGACACCTTAGTGCATTCCGGCCGGAAAAAGAAAGGTTGTTTTGCTAGACAAGACAAGACTGCACTTTTACAGTTCACAAAGCTGGTATAATTAGAAAACATTGTTGCTTCTTCAAGAAAATTTCAGTTTTTGGACTGGCAATGTACGCCGCAATAATGATGACAGTGATGTTTGTAATTGAGGCGCCAGTGAGATCATGATGATCATGACGGCAACTTCAATGGTAATGATAAAGGCGCTGACAATGGCAGCCATAATGGTGGTGATGATGACGTTAACGATGGTAATGATAAAAGAAAAATGGATTTTTAATTCACCAAAAAAAAAAATGTCAAACATACAGAGTAGTTAATCTGTACTGTTGTTGTTCTTTACCTTTAAATTTTTTTTTCAAAGATTGAAGAGTAGGAAGAAACGCCACCGGAAACTGAAAACAGGACCAGCAACAGGTAATGGTTTAATTTTTAAATAACAACACTTCACGTGATATCTTCCAACACATCGATAAACTAATTATTAGACAGATAATTTTAATGGATGATCTATGAGAAAAAAAAGTAAGAGAAACTTAATGGCACATGACCCGCAGTTGTGTGCCTGTTGCTATTTGCCCTGTTCCGTTCAATGCGGCTCGGTTCGATTTGATTCAATACGATTTGGTTTGGTATAGGGGTTCCATTCAATTCTGTTCTGTGTTCTATTGAATCTTAGCGACGAAAACAGTAATTTTAAAGTGCATCTAATGAAATAAGATTATTAATTGAAACAGTTAAGAAAAAAATTGGGAGAAAAATTTCTTTTTTTCCTTGATTATTCAAAAAATTTTAAATCTCGACTGAAAAAGGTTATTATTATTATTATTATTATTATTATTATTAT